TTTCGGATGTAAGGAGAATATTCTTCTTTTTATCATCTTCCTCTCGAATAATTTATAATTCAGACATCATCTCGCGGTTAGATCAATTGTAATAAAATAAGAATTGATCAATCAGGAACCGATTGAAAGGATCGATCGTAAACATTAACGAGTGCCTCAGTTATGCTCGAATTACAGGTACGTTTGCTTCACGTGTAAACGTATGCACGTGCATGCACGCTGTCCGGGAAAATTTGTGCAATCCGAGCATTCATACCGAATGCAGGTGACGGTAGCATGGCACGCTGGATGAGACGGATACGTTATGCAAGTTTGCGCCACAGAGATCTGTTGCGTCAGAGCGGTTCGTCAGCACTATACACGAAGACGAAGAAGCCGACGTTCGAGCTTTTTTTCTTAATTGAAGAACATTTCACGATCGCACATCATCGATACCTCAATACGTCGACATGCTGAGGCAACAGATATTTCTTTCCTAAGAACTTGTAAATATTGATCGGATCAGATCAGACTGATAGTGTGGATAAAGAGGATTCATATAGAGATATTCAACAAAATAAATTTCCATAAACTTTTTATCAAGAAAGTTCGAAATATGATAATATATACGTACAATAATAATAATAGTATTTATATGGGCCATAATTTACCAATCTCTGTGGTAGAAAGTGATCCTTCCGATCTCCCTGTTTGCAGAGGGAAAATTAAAATTTATTGAACAATGTTATACATATATTACAATTAATTAAGCACGAGACACACGTTCCGATTTTATACTCATATCATGAAATATAAAAATACATATCTTATTATCGCGTTTCTCTTTGCAACTTGATACGATCTTCCAGTGATTTCAATATACACGCGGGATGTAGTTTCCCAATTTTATATCATGAGGCTGTAGGTATTAAAAAGGGGCTAAATATATATTTTTACGTTCTTTCGCGGTACGGCGGTGCATCAGCGCAATATATCAAGGACTACGTCAAAGGCTCTCGAACGCGAGACGATTTAGAGGCGTTCCATTACGAGCTAACGATTCGCGATGCAACACTGACGGGAATCGCGATCGACGAGATATAGAGCGCGAATAGAGTGAGCATACGCTTACTTACACGCCGAATCGGCTCTTTTCCATCGTCACCATCGATTCCGAGGCAGCATCTTGTGACACACTTGCGTCGAACGTTGCTGTAAATCTTGCCGATTGCACCAAACTATGATCTAGAAACGCGGATGAGTCCCGGATGGGATATATAAAGAGCGAAACAGACCTCGTGTTTGTCATTCCCTCGAGAAATCCATCCTGTGCTGAAAGGGTAGCAACGAGAAATAGGGAGAGATTATCAAATCTCCCTTAGAGGGATATACTAATAAAAATTTGATTCCTTTTGCCACTGGAGAACACTATAGAACTCGCCAATATGATTAAGGTGAGAAAAGATTAGATTTAGCTTCTAATTTTATAATACTTATGAAATATAATAATTATCATATATATGTAATTATGTAATCAGATATAAAATAAATTTAAACAGATTAGAATAATTTTAAAATTAAATGTTATCAAAAGAATTTTGTTACTATTTTGGTGGCCCATGTTTATAAAATTTTATAAGATTTATCGATATTATTTCACATTGTAATGGGAATTCTCTTCAGATCAGTGGAACGACGTTCATTATGATTCTGACTGTGGTGCATTCGGAACCTCCGGTTAGTTCGTATCTACCTCCGAGAACCGGCACCTCCGGTGCGAATGGCGGTCGAACCGACTTGTCCACGCAATATGGGACGCCGGATTTCAATAATAGAGGTGGTATTAATAGAAACGGTGGCGCAACAAGTTTCGGCGGGCCCGCTGGTAATGGCGCAGGTAATGGTCCATCGAAACTTTACGATGTACCCACCGGGGGAAATGCCGGCGGAAATGGTTTAGATCAGTTTCGAGGAAACGGGTTTAGGGGTGGACAACCCTCTAATGGCGCTTCCAACGATGGCTTTGGTGGAAACCGAGGCAACGAAGGAAGACCATCGACTAGTTACGGTGTTCCTAGCGCGAATGAAAACAACGGGGGTCGTTTTGGAAACGGAGGTCACGAGAAAAGACCATCGTCTAGTTACGGTGTTCCTGGTGCGAACGGGAATAGGAGTAGTTTCGGAAACGGAGGCAATGAAGGAAGACCATCGTCCAGCTATGGTGTTCCTGGTGTGAATGGGAATACCAAGGGTAGTTTTGGAAACGGAGGCATCGAAGAAATACCGTCAACTAACTATGGCGTTCCTGAAGCGAACAGAAATCATGGAAACGGCGGCGGTCGAGGACCTTCAAGTAATTATGGCGTACCTGGTGCGAATGGAAATACGAATGGTAAAAGTTCTTTCAGTGGGGGAAATAGTAGTGGAGGATCATCGAGTAGCTATGGATCTTCGAATGGAAATGGATTTGGTGGAGGATTATCAGGTAGTTACGGTCCTCCTAATAGAAATGGAAACAATGGTTATCCATCCGGAAGCCCAAATGGAAACGAGAATTTCGGGCATGGCGATGGAAGTTTTGGAAGAGGAGGAGGAGAAGGAGGAGGAGGAGGTTATAACGATAACGCGCAAGAAGAAAATATCGTGAGTGTATAAATCTTATTAAATTAATTGAATTATATGCGAATGCAACAATTAGTCAGGCACAATAATTTTCTTACAGAGATACTTATTTATCTCTTGATATTTCTTTATCAAATTATTTTATTGTAGTGGTTTGAAAGTCTATCATTTTCAGAAGCCGGCAAAATATGAGTTTTCATACAAAGTGAAGGACCAGGAAACCGGCAGCGATTACAGTCACACGGAGACTAGAGACGGTGATCGAGCTCAAGGCGAGTTCAACGTTTTGCTTCCAGACGGTAGGAAACAAATTGTCGAGTATGAGGCTGATCAGGATGGATTCAAACCGCAAATTAGATACGAGGGTGAGGCAAACACCGGCGGAGGATACGACAGGTCGAATGGTAACGACGGCGGTTATTCTTCTGGCCGACCAAACGGCGAAAGCGGTGGCTTCGCAAATAACTCAGAATTTAACGGAGGCGGTAGTAACGTCGGTTATCCGAGTGGTGGCCCCGGCGAGGGAAAGCTCGGTGGATTTAATGGCGGAGGCGGCAGCGGTTATCAATCGGGAAGACCAGGTGCGATAAGATTGCAACCTTTAATTGAATTGAAATTGAAATGAAAACGTGAAGGAATAAACAGTAATTTCGGGTGAATGTTTTAAAAAGCTTTTAATTCTTGTAATTAGTATAATGAAATATTCAAGTTCTGTATATAAGAATCTAATTTTACATTTAATAAATTAATTACTAATATTTTGTATCTTAGAAATCGATCTTTCTTTTCTCTTCTGTTTAAATGAAATAAGATTTAAGAAAACATGTGGAAAAATGGTAAATAATTTTGCATATACAATTTAACGTCTTATTTATTATTATGACATTTTTGAACTGAAAAAAAATTTGTTTTCAGGACAGTCCTTTGGTCGAGATAACAATGGTGGCTTGAACGGTGATATAGGCGGATACTTTTCTAATTCTCCTAGCAATAATATCGGCAGCAATGATAATGCGAGTGTCGGAAATAATAAACAAAGCGGTAATGGTGGGTATCAATATTAAAAAAACACATAGTTTAATAGCTTTAGAGAAGTTTTAGATAATTTTACACTAAACAACTAAGAAAAAATTATTAAAAATGTATCTATCTCGTAAATATTATTTAAGCACGGAGAACAGGGAACTTTCGTATCATATTATTGTATTAGTTATTTACAAGACTTTCCTTTATCTTTCCATGAAAGAGTAAAATACGGCAATGACTTTACAGATTTTTTAAATATAAATTTCATAAATTCATATTTATTACCAATCTCTCGTATTCGCACGACTTATTTAAACTTGTGTGTAGGACCTTCTAGTTGAGCAAAAAAAAAAAAAGAAGAAAAAAATAAACATATATATAACCGACATTGATAGAAACACCTTCATTATTGCAACGTACATTTCCTTCCTACGAAAGTCCGTTACGATCTGAAACTTCCACGTATTCTTGATAAGCAAACACGTACAACAATAACAATAGTAATCGTGAAACTCGGCATGCACAGCTAGATATCAAACCGTTACGTAGAGTTAGACATTACGTATGCATGCAGCTGCGTAGAATAATTTCGTCTTTTTTACGAACTAATTTCGCACTTCCGCGGCATGCTCGGGGGAGCGCGACCTTAAGGGTCGCACGATGCGCTCGTACGACAAAGATTAACGCGGCAGAAACGGCCGATGTACAATTACGCATCTCCGTATCCGGCTCGCGTTGTATCTCGTGCGACCGGTATCTCTCGCTCGGCCACCGACAGGAAGTCAAAGTCGGGCTGGTCTGCCGCCATGTGTGAATCTCCGTGTGTTAAAATGCGCGTTGCCAGCGGCCGCGGTTTCCCAAACGGCCCCCGCGATATGCCCACGCGCCACAACAACGAACGACCGAATCGTAAAAGGCGATGCAGATCGGTCACCTGCAGATCCCGAAATGCCAACGAAATCCCCCGCCCGAATTGAGAAGATGAAAATAGAAAGAAGGGCGTAGGTGTAACATTCATTTAATTCAGGATTATCGTACGTACGGAAATCGAACGCTGAGCCTTTCTCTATGCGAAAGGCTCCGGAGGGAAAGCCCTGGACGTTGAAATTTATTTATTCGAAAGCTTGAAGCTCGAGAACAAAAATCTCATTTGTTTCGTTATATTATTTCTTTAAGAAAGGAAAATGTCTTGGGTAAATAATATATCATCCCGAAACCTCGCGCAAATTTAAGTTCTTTGAAAGATATATAAATGCCTTTGTGTTCTCTGTATTACGTAAGTTTTGCGTGACAGGATTGTGTCTCTTAGCTGTTAGGTGGACATTTTCGAGACGCGGCGTGAAATTCTCGCGTATTCACACGGGGCGACACATCGGCAATATTTCATAATTAGTTGCAATTCAATTTGCACGGCGACGATATGCGCGCGCGTATGCGTAGACGCACGCGCGCAAATGCGCATAAATATAGCCAGTGTAACCAGGAACAAGAGAAACAGGTTTCAGCCACGGTACCGTAGATCCTTAAGGCATCATTGAGCGAAACCAGCTGCGCCCGCTGCTCGGGATTTCACTGTAAATGTCAATCCAAGGCGCGTAAAACGTCCCTACGATTTAAAGGAAAGTCGAGCCGTATAGTAAAGTTGTTGCGCGAACGCGAGGGGATGAAAAACGCGATGAGGGTGTTTAACGCGCAACGACCGGCGCTTCCACTCGCGCATTCGAGGGATGTTTTATTCCTCGAAGCTTCAGCTAAAGCTAAATTTTTAGGAGGAAGAAATGATTCATTAAGATGAAAAAATAAGAAATGAATTAATGTAGAACGACTATAATGCCATTGATTTTTTTAAATAGTATTATTAGTATTATGTGGCTAAAAATTTAATTGACTATCAGATATTCAATAAAAAAATTGTAGTTAACGCGGCGCGAAGAAATTTCCATTGGTTCCGAATTTTTCAAATTTTCCTAACACGCGATGACCTTTATTTTTTAATTTCGAGAGGTAAGGAAGATTGTTGTACGCATTGCGGAGTGATGCATTCCTATTACGCTTAAACAGAGATACTTGCCGGGCATATTAGAAAGTTGCGGACTTTAGTACATGAAAGTACATGAGCCCGACCATCGTTAATTACTGTTCCTCTGCAAGTGCGAAGTAGTCTAACATCTACGAGGATGTTAAATGCCGCCCTCGCGCCACTGAAGATCAGCCTAATTATTTTACAACATTGTGAAAATTGCCAGATCATCCCAAGACAATTTCACGCACTTGAATTTTTTTCAGTCAGTAAGGTCTAAAATTCTTTACATTTTTAAAATGTCGAGTTCTCACGGTATTGCGATGATATTTCGTAGCTCTCGATCTGTATATGTAAATTAAAAAAAATTAATTAAGTACGCGATTACCAAATAATTAATATATCTTCGAGATTGAGATAAAATTATTTTACAACAAGAGCATGAGAACATTCTTAGTATTTATCTTTGCTAAAAATTGCTGGGTTGTCACTTTTTTACATTGTAGTACGTTTTACGTTATTTCGACAGAAGATCAGCATAGGAAATTATCCCGGCTGGATAAATAAAATGAAAGTGACCTTTGCGGTCTGATAAATCTCACACCTCAGTGTGGCATTTCGCGACGAAGCATCTTGTTACCGGGCGCACTTAGGTGTTTTCGGCCATATTCGGCGATGCATCCGGGCATCTTTATGACCCAGGCAGGACCCATGTCGGTAACCCACGGCCACTCTCCGTCCTGCTCCGTCCCTCTCTCGCTCTTCTCGAAACGTAATCGTTTTTGCAGCCGGTCCGGTTCTCGGCGTCACCGACCTACCGGAACGCGTCGCGTCGGACTCGAGCGCGACGTCCGACTGGGACCAGGTATGAAAAGACGAAACGGAGATGCGGAAATTCTATTATGATTTTCGGCGCCTTCTTTGATGCGTTTTTGTATCAATAAGCTTAAAGATATACAGGTAAAATTCTCACTCGTTTCCCGATTTCCCAATTTCACGACGACGGATTTGAGTAAGGATTCGTTCAGGAATTTCATTCACATTTCGTCAGAAAAAAGAAGTAATTCAAAGAAGTATTTTCAAAATGTCTGAATTGTGTCTCTATGGTTTATCATTGTAAGAGTACAGTACGGTACAGACTCCCCTCAAATCTTAGAGAAATGTTTTATTAATGAGCTCGAGGATTCCTCCTTATGGATGCTGAGATGAGCCACGAGGAGCGGGTTAGCATTGAAAAAGAGCGACTTCCTCCTTAGCAACAGTCGGAAGTAGAAAATCATGCTACTAAATTTAGTTTAAAAGCGAACGTGGACGTTTGTTGCCGAGGCGCAAGAATACCCGAGGCATCAATGTACATTCCACTCTTCAATTCAATTCTTATTCACAAATCCGAAGGATCGTCGAGAGAATTCTCTCGGACGCCGCGGCAAGTGTAGCTATTTCTCTCGGGAATTTATCAAGAAGGATCCCTCCAAACGGGTCTCAAACCGGGTGACTCCTCGCAGGACAACGTATCGAAAGAAAATCCAAAAATATACCTCGGGGCCACATTCGCGATCCTATAC